AGAAGCCCAAACACATTTTCAAGAGCATCTCCTTGTGTTGAAGAATACTTTTGAAGATAAAGGGTCTTAACAGATGACTAAGAGGAGAAGGAGAAGAAGAAGGAGTAGGAGGAGGAGAAGAAGGAGGAGGAGGAAGAGGAGAAGGAAGAGGAGAAGAAGGAGAAGGAGAGAAGGTGAAGAGGTGGAGATGAAGAGGGAAGAAAGAGGAGGAGGAGAGGGGGAAGCAGCAGCAGGAGCTGATCTAGAAAAAGCACCACTTCTTTTCCTGAGAAAGAAAATGGGAATTGAACAAGATAAGGAAAAATTCTAATAAATCTAAAAATATAACAGCAAAATTAATATTTCTACTAAAAAGCTATGCTCAACAACATTGACTCTACATAAACAGAACCAGTGAAACCAAACATGAGTAGTTCTTCTAGAAGGCGGAGAAAAAAAAGATGACCAAAATCTTAGTGTATGAACTGCCAAATTGAGCACAAGGTGACCAAAATCATGACAGACCTGGGAAATCAAACTCATGAAGGTCAGTGAGTGCACAGGTATGGTCAGCACTCTGCAGAGGATTCCATGCAAGCCCCACAGGAAAGATCCACCCTCAACTATGAATCACAAGTCATAGACCAAGCCCTAGGCAAATTAAAGCCAAAGGACTGACTCTGAGATACATTCTGATGAGAATGTCAAATGGCCAAGGCAGAGAAAGAAAGAACCCAACAAGCATCAAAATGGAGTAGAAAGAGTACTATACACACAGACACAATTCTGGCTGGCCTTAGACTTCTCCATCAAAAGACAATGAATGGGTCAGGTAGTGGTGGCTACGTAAATCTCTACATGTGATTAAATTGCATAAAACAACTACTATTACTATCATAAATATGAACACACAAGTGACCGCAAGTAAAAACTGAAGAAATCTGAATAAGATTTATGCTCTCGTTACTAGTATTATGCTGGTATCAATTTCCTGATTTCAATATTATATTTTGCCAAATGATTTCTGTTATGATCCTGACAACTTCCTGTGAGCCTGTAAGTATTAAAAAAAAGAAGAAAATTGACTGAGATCCACCACAAAAATGTGAAAGAAAAAATATAAAAAGATAAAACCCAAATATTGCTATTCATATTCAGCAGAGAGTCATTCTTGGTTAAGAAAACAGTGAGTGATGTTAGAGGATCCGAAGGAAGACTTAAAACAAGATGCAAAAAACAGTTTTTATAGGACAGTTGTAAAAGGTCTACTGCTAAGCACTGAATTTAAGATCATTAAATTTAACTAATTGTTATGGATATGATTATAAAACTGGAAGCAAATATCAAATATAATGTTTGAAGAAATAGATATGATCTAAAAAATTGTAACACAACATTAGGCCTAGGATCTCAGAATATAAAAACAAACAAAAACAAACCCTTAGAATAGATTAAGAAAGTGGAAGTGTTACTACTTTCTTTTTTTTTTTAATATTTATTTTTTAGTTTTTGGCGGACACAACATCTTTGTTTGTATGTGGTGCTGAGGATCGAACCCAGGCTGCACGCATGCCAGGCGAGCACGCTACCGCTTGAGCCCACTACTTTCTTTATGTTACAAGGGGACCAAGAAAAATATACTGCTTTATTTTTTATGTTGATACCAAGGATGTGTTGTTTAAGAACAAAACAAAAACCCTTAAAATTATCTCTTAGCAGAGTACAAAATAGAATTAATATTTTTTAAATCTCTAGAGAAAAAAATTCAAATTTCAAATACTATGACAAAAGAAGAACACTTAAAACTATGTTTTAAAAAGTCTAGTTGGAAAATAAGTATGTTATGAAAATAATTTTCACTTTACTATTAGATACAAGGATTCCAGATAAGTCAAGAGATTTCTCCATGTATTTTGCTTGTATTTTAGATTTTTAGATTAATTACATCTACTAATTGATATACCAAAAGAAATCAATAAATAAAGCCCAAATTGTTTATTTTATTTTTTAAAATGGGTAAACATATCAGGGAAACAGAAACACAAAAAAAATAGAAATGGCACTGTTAATATACAATGAAAAAACTTCTGTTGTCAGGTATTAAAATGAGTTATAAAGCAATTATAGTCAAAAAGTAGTTTCATAAAGACATAACAAGTAGATCAAATAAACAGAAATAGAACTTAGTGTTTAATGATAGTATAAAAGACTCTATTCTACAATAAAGGTAGCCTTTTAGTCAATGAGGAGAAAAAGGATTATTGGAAAATACAAAAATGACTCATAAAACCCTAACTCAGAAACAAGTGATAATATAGAAAAAGTAGTATTTGTAACAAAATAAAAATCATTAAGAAAAGGAAATATAAGCCAGGTGCAGTGAGCACACCTGTAATCCCAGTGGCTTAGGAGGCTGAGACAGGAGGATCACAAGTTCTAAGCCAGCCTCAGCAATTTAACAAGGCCCTAAGCAACTTAACAAGACTCCATCTCAAAATAAAAAATAAAAAAGGGCTGGGGATGCAGCTCAGTGGTAAAACAGCCCTGGGTTAGATCCCCAATACCAAAAAAAAAAAAAAAAAAAAAAAAAAAGAAAGGAAAGAAGGAAGAAAAGGACAAATACCCTCTACCTATATGGGCAAAAGATTTGTTTAGATCATTCACATACATCCTAAATTCAAAGATTCATTAAACACATGAAAAAAACTTCCTATCAAGGGCTGAGGGTATAGCTCAGTTGGTAGAGTGCTTCCCTTGCATGTACAAGGCCCTGGGTTCAATCCCCAGCACCACCAAAACAAACAAACAAACGAAAAAAAACCACCCCTCCTATCACAAATAATAAAAGAAATACAAATGAAACAATGAAACACTGCACAGTATCTTGGGAGTGGAAGCCTATACAACCTTTATGGAGGATAATTTGGCACTAAGTACCACTAGTCTTAAGCCTATTCTTGTGGGTTTTTTTTTTTTTTTTTTGAGATTTTAGATTTCTGCTCCAAGTGTGGAGAATGTGCAGAGCAGCCATAGTGTGGTCAGTGGATTACCCCAGCCTGCCAACTGGGTGACCAGCCATAAAATGACATCAGTAAAAGTATCTGCTTTTAGAGCCTTGAGATAATCATAACCTACATGGTATCTGGCACAGCAACTGTCAGGGACAGCAGTAGAGAGCAGTGATGTTTGGCCATAGCACTAGAAGTTCAAAATCCTTTATGTGAAACCCCTGCTGCCCAATGTGCTTTAGAATTAAGACCTTTTTTGGATATTAAAACAAAAATAACAGTACAATTACCTAACTAGGTCTGGGGTAATAGCTGATAACTTTACTATTCCTACTTTAAAATCTTTGAATATTAATTTTCAGTGAAATATCAATTCAGGTCAGGTGCTGCAGTCCAATAAGTTACAAAAATACTTTCATTTTTTCGGAGCTTTCTGGACTTCAGATTTGCAAAAGAGGGACTGAGAACCTGTATTTATAGCAGAAATATTAGAATCTATCTAAATGCATATGAATAAGGGATAGATTTTAAAAGTTATATTCATAAAAAGGAAAAATCCATAGCTGCAAAAATAGCTTTTTCAAAGAATATTTAACAAAATGTGAAATATTCATGAATACTAGGTAAAATATAAGCAAGATTTAAAAATATGCATTATGTAAGAAAGGGCATAGCTCAGTTATGGACTACTTGAACAGTGTATACGAGGCCCCCCACACACACACCAAATTAAATTTTATAAAAGTAAATCATATAAATGTTTATAATTGCAGAATAAAAGAACACAAGGAACCATACCAGGATATTAACTTAGCTATACTATGTTCCTTATACTTTTCTGTATAATATTCTATGATAATCAGGAAAAAATTTTCAAGTCATTTATGTTTGACTCTCCTGTATAGGACTAGGTCAGTTATCGTTCTAGGGGACTAGAGAATCTACCTTTTCCCTTAAGGAATATTAACATGTAACATGTTCTGGACATGACTCAGCTCTCTCTGCATGAGATTGTATTTCATTCTCTATCAATGATTTTCCACTAACACCTTAGGACAGCCTGGCCCAGACACCAGGCCTTTTTAACACCTCCGTCAAATGAAACACTGATGGTCTTGCAACTCGGTGATAGAGAGGGCATCCGAGGTGCAATTAGAAATTGATTTGAACCCTCCTTAATCTAAAGGAGTGATGAAAAAAATTCAAGGCCTTTTCACTGTACTCATTAAATTTTAATCATTTAAGAAATTGTTGGGGGAGGAAGAGATCTCACCTAGGTTTATTTCAGGGCTCTCTTGAGTAAAGGGCTAAAAACTTATTGGGACAAGCAATGAAACCCCAATATTCTGTGGAGTACGGGAGATGCTGAGAGGTATCATGGCATGGAAGGGGCCCTTAGTGGAGGGGACAAGCAGCAGTCCACCATATCTAACAGGTACTCCTTCATGTCTAAGAAGTAGTCTCTGACCAGAGCTTTGAAAGACTCACTTCACAGTCTTCCATGAATTCCTCCTGGGTCTGGAATTTTCCACTGTTTGCGGGGGCATAACAGTTTAAAACTGTTATACACCAAAAAGGTAATATGTGACTGAATCATTATAGGCTGTTATGAGCCTCAATTATGAACTTGGTACAAAAATGTAACTAAATGGTCAATCAACAACACTAATCACCTAAAGGACCAGTGGGTTGGTATTTAATCACTTTTATGTAGATTCTAACAGACTTTTTAAACCATTGCAGAGAGCAAAAGAAATCCTTGTTCAAAGCTTTTGCCACACACACAAAATAAACATAGTTAAATAAGAAGTTAATTCTCTTAGCTTAATCCCACAGAAAATTACTTGTTTGCAGAGAAATTATCCACTCAGGATACTTTGGTATTTGTGGAGAGCTAGTCCTTCCCTCCAGCTCCCCACCTCCCTCCCTTCTCTTCTCCCAATCCAAACAAGAGTCCCCTCAATCAGGCCCTTCCTGAGAATATTGACCTCCCAAGAGGAAGGGCTGACTTACCCTGTCCCAGCTGAAACACAGGCCCAGTTGGTCCAGCTGTTTCCTCATGTGTTTAATATTACTGTGAAACAAAGGAAAGCAAGTTTGATTTTGAGAGGGGTTAAAACCATAAAGAAACTATTCTTTGAGAACATGGAGGGGCTCTAAGTGTTATTTTGCTCTGGCAAAAAAGAAATAAAATAACCACTAAGAATCAGTGAAAATACCAATGTATTAGAAAATACTTTTTTTTTTCATTTTTGAGAGTTACTATCTTCTTGGATTAGAAGAGACTCATTATTTGGAGACATACACAATCAATAGAAATAACAGTGGTCTTGGCCCTGGGAGATGCTCCTTCCTGGGCCAATCAGATAGACAACAACTCCTGGCCTATCCACATGCCTGAATTTAGCACAGATTTAAATCAAACAATTACAAGTCTTAAAGTGATTAGAGCTGGGTATAGTGGTGGATGCCTATAATCCCAGCAACTCAGAAGGCCAACACAGGAGGACTGCAAGTTTGAGGCCAGCATGGGCAATTTAGTGAAGAGCTTGTTTCAAAATTTAAAAAAAAAAAATGTGTGTGAATGTGGCAGGTAGCTGGGGATATGGCTTGCGATAGAATGTTTGTCTAGCATGTACGAGGCCCTGGGTTCAATCCCAAGAACTATAAGAAAATTAAAAATCTAAATGTACAAATTTCGGGAATTCAAAGAAAATCATAAGAGTACTTTGTCAATCAAAAAACGAAAACTAAAACTGTTCAATATCTATGAAGTAGGGAGGAAACTGAGTTAATTAATGTATAATATGGAATAAGGAAATGCATCATTTTTTAAAAGGACTAACACATTTCAATGCTGCCTCTTTCAATTCAAGCAGACTTGAAAATATGAAAAACCATGAAAAGTCTTCTATGTCATCTCTGATTAGCTAATAATAGCTTATTTATGAGCCAAACACTTTGTAGAAAAGTGCTAATCTTTATCTAGTCACATGAGGTAGGAATTATGACTATGCTAGTTTTATAGCTAGGTAAACAAAGGCACAGAAAAGTTAAGAAGTGTGCTCAGAATAAACAGCTAGCAAGAAGGAAAGGCAGGATTCGAATCTAGGTGCTAACTACTATACTAAAGGGGCACCAAACTTTCTGTAACAGGCTAGAGGAATGTTTTTAGATTTGTAAGTCACATAGTCTCTGACACAACTACTCAACTCCACCATTGTTATCATGCAAGCAGCGAGGGGCAATATATAAATAAATGCACATAACTGTGTTCCAATAAAACTTTTTTTGAGAGAGAGAGAGAGAATTTTTAAATATTTATTTGTTTTAGTTCTCGATGGACACAATATCCTTGTTGGTATGTGGTGCTGAGGATCGAACCTGGGCCGCACGCATGCCAGGCGAGCGCGCTACCGCTTGAGCCACATCCCCAGCCCCCAATAAAACTTTATTTATATAAAGAAGTAGGGATGGATTTGGCCCATAGGTCATAGTTTCCCAACCCCTACTATAGTTTACATCAAATTTGAGGTATATTTGATCATTTTATTTAAAATATCATCTCCTTTTTCTATTACTCCTATTAATCTAGAATTCACCATAAGTGGAAGAATAGAAACTAGGGGTTAAGAAGAAGAAAAGAAAAGTAGATATAAGTAGAAGTCCAATAGTTCTAGAAAGTAGCCTTTCTAGAACAAGGGAAAGCAGAGGGAGGTGAAAGACACTGGGGACAAACCCAGGAAGTGCCCTTTTACATCTCTGAGGAGTGAGGAGAAAAAGGTCTCAAGTCTTTGTAAAAGGGGCTGATGCTGTAGGCCCAGAAGATTCGGCTGTGTTCTGGTGTGAGGAGCTCAAGACTTTACCAGGAAGAAGAGGGATGGACACTGTTGGCCCACTGTACATGAAAGATGGCAGGTGGGGGGCGGGGGGTGGCGCTTGGGAGAAAGTCACACCCAGCATCAAGTGCCATGTATTTCCATATTGACTAAGTTCCCTTTGCTTGTCAATGATGAAGACAAAATGAATGTTTAGAGAAATTACAATGTAGTGTTTGAATACAGGTCAAACTATGATCAACAAGACAAGAAGCATTAGAGAAATTTAACAAATGTAACTGTCCTTTTTTCTCCCAAATGAAACGCTCAAAGGAAGAGTAACTTGGTAAATAACAAACATCAAAAGAGCATCTTCATGAAAATACCCCTCCTTCTCTGATATTTCTTAGATGAGAACACAGTGTGTTAGAAGACAAACACCAATACAGACAATCCTGTTTATTTCTTGGCAGGCTGAAGTGTTTTGTTTGCTTGCTTTATTTTTCATGCATAGCCTAAAAAAAAAAAAAAAAATGTTTCAGGTTTTTGTATACAAGTGTTTGAATATGCCTGTCAACACATACCTTTGGGTCCAACTTTCTGGGTGCAAATTCCTCTCTATGGCAGCATTTTCAGCAGGCAATCCAAATGCATCCCATCCCATGGGGTTGATGACCTAGCACCGAGAAGACAAACATCAGCCATGGCAAATCACTAAGAGCTATGTGGGTATTCTCTTCTGGGCAACAGACAGCATCCCCTCCTGCTAACATTCTTGATTCCTTCTGGGTGATTTCTAACTATGTGTCTGAGAGCCAGCAGGCTGCCTGTGATGTTCGCATGGAAGAGAATTAAGGTTATACGCCAAAGCGCCAATGGCAGTCATCTCTTGAGTCGTTAGTTGTTCTCATAAGTACTTTTTACTTTTTCCTGTTTGTATTGTCTGTAATGAACCCAAACTGTTTTTCTGAAATTACAAAAAGCTTTCTTCAATTTCAAAAATATGTGCACATAAAATTTATAGGCTTTCAAAATACTCATTCATGTCAGAATTTTCCAGTTAAGGGGCTGTGTTGTCCAATATGGTAGCCATATATGTGGCTATACATTCAAGTTTAATCAAAATAAAATTTTAAAGTTGGTTCTTCAGGCTCATTAGCCACTTTCCACATATGCAATAGCCACAATGGCCGATGGCTACATAATCAGATGGTGGAGATATACAATATGCCATCGCCACAGAAAGTCCTGTTGGACAGAGCTGCACTGAATGTGCACCATGACTGATAACCAGAGATCCAGCTCTACCTTCACCTAAGCAGGTCCATCTAGAGAGGCCCAGGCCACTGTCTTTCTCCTGAACTCACCTGAGTCCAGCACCCATTCCCATCTTTTGAGTGTCACTCAACACCTTACCTGAGCTCACTCCAGGTCCGAGAGTTCTGTTGTTCCTCTCTCTTCCTCTCCCTCTTTTTCCCCTACCTGCACCAACACACTCTTTTGAAAGGCCCCCTCCCCATTTCTTCCTGAAATCCATCCCTTTCTTCCTACAGTAAGGAAGGGAATACACAACTACCAGGGATGTGGGAACACAGAGCAGCAGACAGTAGGTCTCCACATAGTAACCACTGAGACTGTATCTAAGTAGATCTTTTGAGCAAGCCCTATGCAGAATTTATACTAATTTGTAAAATGTCCTATATATTTTAAATTAATTGCAAACTACCAGCTATGCCTTGGGCATAAGGAATGGTCTACATGTAGTTTCCTCATCTTTCCTCAGTCTGTCTTCCATAAATGGGGATAAATTGGTAACTTCATCAGATCATCGTGAGGATTAAATGAGTTAATATAGGAGAAGCACGGAGAATAGTGCCTGCCAGGTAGTAAGTAAAGTGCTGTGTGTAGTGTTGACCATTATTACTTTTATTCCTAAAGATTACTGCCTTCAAACCACTTCCTATAAGATATTTCCATTCTCTTAAGAGCAAAATCTCAAGATCTTGGAGCTTAAAGATGCTTTTGAGACACATCCTCTATTTTACCCCCTTATTTGAAGTGTAAGCAACTGTGGCCCAGCAAGACTGAGGAGCAACCACTTTGAGCCAGGATAGGCCACTAAGAAACTCCTTTCTCCAAATGGATGATCAGCTGGAGTGTAGTTGGCAGCTTCAATAGCAAATTCTCTAAACCTAACTTAACATGCTGCATATAGAAACAATGATGTGAAACACTGTTTACAGACACCAAGGATGGCCTCAGACAGCCAGGTCTCTGCCCCATCAGTCCCCACTAGTCTCTGAAAGTGATCCAGCCACAATGCCGCAGACACAGTTTCTAGGATTTCTAGAAAGCAGCCCCTTCCAGTGGGCCATCTGACTGGCTGTCCACTGCCGCCAGCAGGGGTGTGTGTAACCATGCAGAGAACCTGAGCTCATGCTCCCACTTCCTGGGATAGTGAATATTCAGAGGCACTTGCTGGCACCACCTCATCACCTACCCCTACATCAGGATGGGACATTTTCAACTAAAGACATACAACATAAGAAATAAGACTCACTTAAAATTCTACTTCACATATATTCATGTGAGATACACCCATGTACTTCCCTAAGGGTGGGTTGCTTACGGGGAGCCTCAGCAGAAGGTTAGTGCCAGGCATCAGAAATTTTTACCCAAACAGAGCAGACCACACAGGCTCAAAGGGAGAGGTCCTTGGCCCTCCTTTCAGAGAAAGGGACAGAACAGTTCTTCTTTCCCACATAGTTAATGGTTCACACCAGGTGCTTCGATGGAAAGCAGCCCAGCTGTTCTTGTCGCAGCTGGTTGGAGCAGAGCAGTCCATCAGCAGAAGGCAGCCATCTGTGAATTGGTCAGGGAGGAGCCTGTCTGATGGCCCTGGGCAAGGACACTGCCCTGAAGTAGATGTCACCATATTGGAGGTGGTGGGAGACTGGTCTCACCCAGACCTGCTCTCTGGAAGGGACACAGGCTCAGTAAACAAACATGCTGTGGATCTCTCATGCTTGTTCTTGCTCTAGGGCAGCCTGGTTTGCCAGGTTCTGTGCTGTATTTCCCAGTTTGGGCCATCAGGGAAGCCCTGGACTTCCCTGAGATGACTCCTAAGCTACTATCTTCAGTTCCTGCATCTGAATTTCCTGCTTTCTTTTAAAAAAATTTTAATTTGTTCTTTTGGGTTACACATGACAGTAGAATGAATTTTGACATATTATATGCAGTATAACTTCTCATTTTTGTGGTTATACACGATGTGGAGTTTCATTGGTTGTATATTCATATATGAACACAGGAAAGTTATGTCTGATTCATTCTACTGTCTTTCCCATTCCCCCCCCCCACCTTTCCCCGATTCCTCCCTGTCCACCCCAGTGAACCTCCACTCCTCCCTCCACCCCTATTGTGAGTCNATCGGTTACACACTCACATTTTTACATAATGGCATATTAGTGACTGTTGTATTCTGCTACTTTTCCTATCCCCTACTATCCCCCCTCCCCTCCCCACCCATCATCCCTCTCTACCTCATCTGCTGTTGTTTAATTCTCTCCCTTGTTCCCCCCCCCCACCTTTCCCCTCTTCCTCCCTGTCCACCCCAGTGAACCTCCACTCCTCCCTCCACCCCTATTGTGAGTCACCATCCGCATATCAGACAGAACATTCAGCTTTTGGTTTTGGGGGACTGGCTTATTCACTTAGCGTAAACAAACTGCTTTTAACAAGTAGAACAACACAACACAATGACAAATTAAGGCCAGGCTGACCCTCACCCACTACTCTGCCCATTCCCAGCTCCTTAGTATAACCAATAACCCCAGCCTTTGTATTCTTCAAAGCCTCCACCCTCAAACACAGATACAAACACAAAGGCATGTATAGGAACTTGCTTATGTCTATGGAAATAGAACCTATTTATAATATATCACTTTATGACCTGCATTTTTTCATTTAACATTATATTGTGGATTTCTTTATAAAATCTGAAAATATGTATATATGTCTTTTTATTTAAAGTTCTACCAATCCCTGAACAGATACTTGCAGTTTTAGCAACCTAATTGGACACACCCTACTTCAGCTGAGAACCTGAGGTCTATTTTTCTCTTGTGAAATGTGACAGACCCGGGGTTTCATCCTTCCAAACAGCATCTCTTCATCTGGAAACTGTTTTTCCAATCTCACAGGGTTCTGGCCTGGACCGCCAATCATAAAGACCCTTCCTCTGGCTACAGGGGAAGCATATGCCTGAATCCTTCCTATTCCAGGCTGGTCTGAAGCCAGGCTGAGTGCTAGGACAGGAGGAGACTCTCTTTTCTCCTTAGTCCACGTGGCTCCCCAAGAGCTCCAGGTGACTCTGCCTCACCTCATGGAGATGTCTGAGAAAAAAGAAGGAGCTAGGAGTGTTGGATTGCAGCTGGATTCAAGGAACTGGTCCCAATCCTGGTGGGCCTGTTCCTGCAGCATTTCCTTGGATCCTGTGAGTTACATCAGGATCTGTAAAACCAAACAATCAAAACTTCCCTTTCTGTTTAAGAGGATCTGAATTGGGTTACAGTCCCTGGTAGCCAAGAATCCTAAGAAAAGTACCCTTTGAGACACAGCTTTCCCCTGAATACTGCTTGATCCATAGATGACAAACACTCTCCTGTGATCGCAATTAAGTTTTGCACTTCTTTCTCTTTTTCTTTTAAAGTTTCAGAAGAAAAAAAAATCCAATGCTGGGGGACATGTTCTGGATTACTTGAAAGTTCTATAATACTTCCACGGACAACACCTGAGTTCTGCTTCCAGCTGCGCTGAGAGTCTCTTAGGACTGCTTCACTGGCAGAATAATGTAACTGTTGTGTAACTGTTCCACAGAAGGGGGAAAACTTAATTACCACTTGGTGTCTTTGTCAGAACTGCCAAAATGGCACGGATTCAATGTTTCTGCCTATTAACATTCTGTTAGGCGCCATCCATATTTTTAAATAAAGTCAATACAGAGACTGTCACAAAAAACCCGTCTGGATTTACGTAATAAACTTATTCACTTCTATTTCTGTTTTCAGATGGAATGAACATGAAAAGATATTCTTAGTTCACATGTTTTCCAAGCTGTCTATGAATATAAAGTTAGAAAAATCTTCAAAGTTTCTTAATATTTCAGATTCTTATAGAAATTAAAAAAAAATTCACACTAGGCAGAAGAAAAGAAGACAGAGTGAGAAAGACATTCTGCATCATGAAGTCAAGTGGCAAGTTCTGTCCACCACAGGTCAGATCACTGAAATAAAGATCCAGTGATCTGGGAAGGGTCCCCTTGATTTTATATCCTGGGCTTCCCAGAGCCCCATAAGCAGGTGCAGAGCTCACTCTTATGCTATAAAATGATTCACTCCTGTTGGGGTGGGGGATAAAGCGAGGACCTGCAGCAGCCTTACAACATACTCAAACCTGCTTCTGTCTCTCAGACAGCAGATTCTATTTTCTGGTAAAATTGTTATGGCTCTTTTACGTGAGAGACAATGTGACAGATGCTTCCTTTGCCAGCCTCATTCATGTCTTGGTCTCTTAAATGTTATTCAGACTAATTACCCCATTCTAGGCATCAGATGCTGCTTCTGGGCTGGGGAAGTAGTTTAGTGGTAGAACATGTTCTTAGCATGCAGAGGCCAT